TCCCGCCTATGCGCTACCGTGTCCACTTGAAGGCGCACGCTTCGTCCTCTCGTCACCACTGTCGACGAAGCGCCGATGATATGCACCAACTCGCTGCCATATGCTCGAGATGACGTGTCACTTGCCATCATCTCCATCGCCATCCGCCGCGGGCCCGCTGCCGCTCCACCCGTGTTTCACGGCCTCCGTCGCGTTCTTCAGGGCAGCATTGTGCCCGAACGCCAACCCGCAATCGCACCATTCCGGAATGCATTGCTGGTAATCTCCCAGCGTGAGGTGGGCCTTCCCTAGACGATCGAGGACGAGGTTGGCGGAGTCCACCACGTGTCGACGCCAGTTGAAGATATACAACCCAGCCGCTATCATCGTCGGTTTCGCGACCATGGACGTGTACGACCATGCCTCGTAATGCGATCGGTCGTCGTCACCTCCCATGCACATGATCCACATGACCGCGCACGACAACGCTCGCAGACTGTCCGCCAGCCTGGACAACCTCTCCTGTTTTACGCGCCCGCCATCCGCCCACTGTCCGCACCAGAGCGCATCAGTCCAGCACTCCGCCAGCAGAAGAACTGTCGCCTCCTGCCGCGCCGCCATGTCATTGTCTTCCAGGCGGTCCTCGATCTTCACCCCCGCGAACCATAGAGGCACGTCCATCTTCATCGCCAACGTGTGGTAGACGAGTGCAGGGGATACCACTCTCGACCATTCCAAGGCTTGCCAAACTGCTCGTGCGAGGTCCGTGGCGAAGTCGACGGTGATGTAGGACTCTACACGAGAGAAGCAAGTCGACCTCGACTGCGATTTAAAGATCCAACCGTGGATGGTGCGCAGCACTACTCTCTCCACGCTGCGCGCTCTGCGGAGAGCCGGATCACGCTGCGTCGGGTCGTCGATCTTGAAGCGCGGCATGTCATTCGGCGGCATGATGAGCATCGAAGGCGGCTCAGCTCCTGCGTCTCCGTTGGCGATGGCGACGAAGTAGTCGGTGCATTCACCTACCGCCTCCCTCAGAGGTTTCCCGGGACCCGGACCCCAGAAAGCGTCGCAATCAACCCACAACTTGGCCTTCTCTTCCAGCTCGTCCTCCTTCGGCGCTCCCTTCCCCCTCGGCACAAGTGGACGGTCGTCGCCGTCATTGCCCTCTCGCTTACCGTCTCTTCGGCCATCGTCACGGCCAACGTCGTCGACCCCCCCCCTTCCCGCACCTTGGACGACTCCAGCTTTAGCTGTGTGATCTGCCGCTGCCGTCCGACTGGCGCTAGCCGTCTCGTCGCCCTTTTGTGAGGTCGTTGTGTGCCCTCCCCCTGATGCCAACACGTGTTGCAGGGGGAGTGGCTGACGTGGCTGACCTTGGCCTGCCCCCGCCGAAAGTTGTCTCGCGACCCGCGCGCCTGTGACGACAACCCCTGCCGTGTTTGGGGTCCTTGGTACCGTCCCGGCAGCACCGCCAACAACGCTGCGTTTCACTGCTTGCAGCTACTCCCTTGACACTCAATCCCGCCCGAAACCCAACCTCGCGACCCCTGCCGTCCCTTGCGCGTCCACCATAGCCACTTCGTCTGCGAGGAAGTCATCAGTTTGTGAGGAGCTGGCGTCATCGATGCGCTGCCTTTGTTGGTTTCCCCACAGTCCCCCACCCCGCCATCTTTCCTGCCCCTCGCCGAGGCGCCCCGTGGGGGCATCTGGTCCGCAAATCGGAATCAACGACGACGTAAACGAAGGCTGCCTTCGACGAAAGAGCACGCGGAAGAAGGACGCCTGACTGCTYCCYWGTGCTTCGACRTGGACGRAGGACRAYGTGGATGATGCAGATGACGGGGCAGTGGTCGTGGAGCCGCGACGACGATGGCGACCGAAATGGAGATCGCGGACGACGAAACACGTTGGCGGAGGAGCACGTCCACGAAGGATGACGTCGAAGAAGGAGCACGTGGACGGAGGCGGCGTTGAAGCGCGGCACGTGGGCGAAGAGGACAGTTGTCGCGACAGGGACGCGGGACCACTTGTTTGATGCGCATGAAGGGGCATTGCCCACGCAACACGATGCGGGAGCGTGGAGCAGCGAAGCGGAGTTGCAGGCGCGCGACGACGAGCAGGTAGGCAGACGGTACGAGAGGGAGCCGTGGCTAAGGAACCACTGCGGTACGGAATGCTGGGCGGAATGTCCTATTTCTACGTACTGCGATGTGAAAGTACACCGTGGACATGAGTCCCCGTCCACTACAGCCCGCCCCTTCGTCACTCGCCCATGGTCCGTTTCCTCCGCAGGCGCATGTCATCCCTCACATGGCCAACATCGAAAGTGGGCGCGCAGAAGGACCCTGGCGGAGGTCGAAAAAGCCCGCCAAACCAACGACCCCCTCCTGCCCGAAAATCACACCCTTCTCCGAAACCCCCGGAGTCCGCCATCCATGCGTGCCGGTGACGCCTCACTACAGCAGTGGTAATATTCTATAAGCAGACGGCGTAGTGTAACACCGAAGGACGCGCCGCGGGGCATGACAACAATCGCACCCATTCTACAATGAAATCATCAAATAAATGCATACTTAAATAAATAAAAAAAATCCGTGCGGCCGAAAAACAACCAGCCGTCTGTACACAACCTGCACATCTCGTCACTGCAGCACGCAGGACAATAACGGCACGCATGGCGGGGAGACGTCACGATCGCTCGCGGATCGCTTTAGCAATCTCCATAAGTGCTTGGCACATCATCAAGTTCGTCTGGTCAGCCTTAACGTAGTGTTCCTTCTGCACTTCAACCTCTCGCTCCAGAATGTCGCACTGCCTAGTCAGAATTGAGCACTGTCTCTTGCTCGCCCTGTCCACGGTTGTCGCCATCAGACTCCCGTGCTCCCTCATCACGTCTGCAATCGTGTCAAAGGTCTGCTGTCTCACATTTTTCCATTTGCTGCCCCCGCCAACACCACCGCCGCTGATAGAATCCCTCGTGGACCCCTGATCATCGTCCTGTCCGTCCCCGCCCCCCTCACTACCGTCGGATTCATTCCGACCTCCGCGTGGGCCGGGCATTTGAACACCTCCAGTCGCACCGGTGTCGGCGAGATTGGTGGGGTGTATGGTGTGATCGCTCCTGGTCATCGCCGCCATCTCCGAATACACACGCTCATCCATCCGGAAATCGAACCCCCGCTCCTTTCTCTCGCCTGGCGTTAGTGTGAAGAAATTTGGCTCCCCCGATTCTCCCATAAACTTGTGCACGGTTTTGAATTGCTGGTACAGATTGTCCCATTTCTTCCCGCAATCGACGGCCTTTCTACTCGTGACCCCCATGTGCACCAGCCTCTTCTCCACGTCGTCCCACTTCCATGTCTTCGTCTTCATCCTTCTCGTGGTGTGTGCGAGGCCGGCAAGATGCGAATCCTGGTCTCTTTTTGCCCGGATGAGAGCAATCATGTGCTCCACGGTCCAAAAATCCCGGCTTTTGATCCCTCGCCAGCCGACGCATCTTCCACACCCTTCTTCCCCCTGCGCCCCGTGCGCGTTTCCGGCAACTTTTTCGTGGCCCTCGACCCTCCCTGCTTTCTCCCTACTGGACGAATCTCCATCTCCTCATCGTCCTCCTCGTCGTCGTTACCGGCCCGTCGTCCGCCTCGCAATCCTCCGCAACTGCACCATCTTCATCGCCTAATATATCGTCCGCCCCCACGGTAATCTTCGCCACTCCTCTCGTTATGTCGGCCGTGCTCGCTTCACGCGATTGTCGCCGATGATCATCCCAAAACTTTCGACCAACGACCTCCGTTGCTGACCACTCTTCGTTTGGGCGTCGTCCGTCCACTGTGCCACCTGCCGTCGTCGTTCTACACGGAACTGATCCGCCAGTCCGCGTTGTCACTGGAGCCGGTGTGTGGGTGGTGCCCGAAGCTGGGTTCACCATAATGGTGCGCATCACCTCCTCGGCACTCCCGGACCTCAATCCGAAGCTGAGATCCACCAGTCCTAGGTCATAACCAGCCGGGGTACGCCCCTCCAGCAGATCAGTGTACATCGGCATCAATGCCTGCCTGTGCAGCTGGCTCCCCATCCAATCCTGAGTCGAACCGCTGCCCAGAGGAAGGGTAGAACACCGTGGGTTGTCGCCGTCATCGTCACTTCGAGGCAACGGTATCTCGTGGGACGGCAGGTGGCTGTACAGTGCGGGGTCGTACGGCCGCCTGACTGCTTCCGCACTTCTGCAGCGCTGACGTGGCGACCCCGCAGCCCCAACGGACAGCGTGGTCCTCGTCTGTACCCTCTCCATCTTCCTGGCCGTCTTCTACGTTCGCCGTGTCTGTTTTCTCCCTGGAACGCGCATGAGGCAGCAAATATGGAAGACGACAACGGCAAGCAGCAGCACAACGACGAGCAGCAGCAAAGGCAGCTTGCGGTACAGGTCTGCCATGAACGACAGGGCAGCAGAAACAAAAGACGCACTCGCGCTGTGGCAAGCGCGGCGAACGGAGACAAACGGTGCGAGAGGGAAGACGCCAATGAATGAAATTGATGCAATCTCGCAGCTGGCTGGTGGAGGGCGCTTACAAAATACGTATTTTTCGACCGTTGTGGAGCACACGGGAACGGCACGACCACTGCAGGAGCCGGCCGAAGACGTCTGATGCTCGCCACTGCACCTCCGCCGGGACACCCGACGAACCGACAGGGCCGTACCGCGACGATCACCGCCAACGGTAAAACGACGAGGCCGTTACTCGACGTTTTGGACGCCCACGCCTCGGGATGTCCGTCTTCCGCCTTCCGGACCACCTCTGGACCACTTTCGACCTCCGTTGCCCCTTCGTGACGCGCCGCCGACACCCCGATAATCGCGGATCCTCGGGCTCCAAAGGACCTCGCGGGGTACCTTGAACCTGAGGACGATTTGGCTGGGAAATCCTCGGAGCCCGAGGATTTGTCCTCGAAGTGTTTTCACATTTCTGTTCCGAAAATCGGCTCCGAGGACAGGTGGAACGATGACGAAATCCTCGAAATCGCGTCCCCGAGGAGTGTCGAACGACGCCCTTGGACATGATAGCTCGTGGCTTTGCGTGGGCGGGAAGTCAGGATTTTATGAGCTCCAAAGGGGGGGGGTTGATTTCCAGACTTCGCTCTTTTTTTTTTGGCTCTGAGAAATAGAACTTGAAATGTGAAATTCGAATATTGTGGTGCATCTGACAGGAACGCTCCCGCGTCTGTCGGATGGCCTGCTAAAGGCATCATGAGATACATCGCGAGGAATGTATCCCAATACGGGTTACTTGTTCATCCTCGTGAATGTGTTCGTGGACACATTTTATTGCCACGGCACATCACTATGAAGACTTACGTAAAGGAGATCGTACCAACCCATGATTTCGGGTCCACAGCTGTTCTTCATAGTTTTATGTGCTATTTCAATTCATTTTAAATCAGAAAACGATCCATTCATGCAAATAAAAAATCACTTTGTATTTTCCAAAAAACCATAAAACTGTGTCACACGTCGTAGAATACTTCGCTAGTGGGTCCAGGCCCCTGTCCGTGAGCTATTGGACACTGGACCCTGTTTCCAGGAGCCTATGCTGGGTATTTGGCCCCAGTATTTTTCTCGGAATGGTTGTGGGGTTTCCCGGCCCTTGTTTCCTTTGATATGAGCAATAAAATTTCTTGTGGTTCTCCAAAAAAAAAAAAAAAAAAAAAAAAAAAGATCCCT